GAGGATGAAGCGTTTGCCTTACAGATCTCCTGTGGCTGGCGACACCAAAATTCTGGTGTTCAATATTCTACATGATATATACAGTCCCTGGAATCATCATGGAAGTGGAAATAAAATAGGCTACTGGAAGATCATTTTCCTCTACAACGGGATATATACAAAAGGACTTCAAGTGAATGACTCGGAGAGTAAGCCTGGTTTGGGTGGATGAAAATGATGCTCGGGGGCTCCTGAGCTCGCCCGAGGAACTGCGACCCCGAACAAATGCGCACCAATCCTGTCAAACCCGAGAAAGCTTCGCCTGCAAGGGGAGACAACCAAGTCATAGCATCATGGGCAGTTTGCGCCCACCTGAAGATTCTTGGACGTCGTCACACCGCGTGGCACGTGGCGCGTGGCACGTGGCGCGGCGGCACCGCGGCACGGCGGTGTTCGATCGAAGAGAAGGAGTTCAGTCACACGTGACCGGTCAGTCACACGAGTCTGTGGGATGAAAATACCCAGACGATCCATGTATGGAGCTACATACATTTACCCCGCCCATATATGACCTATGGAGTGTCTTGTGACATCTTCAATCCTTGTTGTGAACGTTGCACTGGCCGAGTCCCTTTTGGGGGGAGTCACGGGAGTGCTTCCGGAAGACCCAACAGGCAGTGTCCGAGGTCCAAAACAAGCAGGTCAGTGCCAACCCCAATCTGACCAAACGCTCGTTTGGATCACTCTGAGCGTTCTGACAAAGACAAGCTGTGCCTCTGCACGTCCTGGACGTCGCTCCCGCGCGGCGTGAATCGCGTCGCAGCATCTCTGAGCTTCGCACAGATCAAAGACCATCTTCTCGGCCTTTCTGGTGGCGGCCACCAGCTCAGTTTGCAAGGAGGCTTCAAAGAACTGAGCCTAGACTGTATTGCCTTGCATTGCCATGCAGATCTGATCATTCTTGCATGTGTTGTTTGTTCTCCTGCTTTGTGATCTTCTGTGCGCATCGCCGCATCGGGGCTAGAGCCTCATGCATGCCGTGAGCCCTTTTTGGCGTGTGCGTGTTTTTTCCGCCATGGTGCCGCTGGTCCGTTCATCCTGACACCCAAATGGGCTGCCCTGAGCCAGAACCCAAGGCCGCAAACAGGGATGTCGAAGTCAAGGAGATACCCCCACCTGTGCCACAGCCTCACGGGCGCCTCAGGATGGATGCTTTGGTCATCCGGTCTGGCTGGTCGACCCAGTTCGGACCCCGAGGTCGAAACGACGTCCAGATAGCCCAAGTCCTATCATGCTGCGTTGCGTTTTGGAGTGGTGGAAACCTGAAAACCAGGAAACCGGACTGCTTTGAGGTCAAACATCTGGGGGCTGGTTGGTACGTTGAGGGATGCACCACTCTGCACAATGCAAAAAAAACATGTTGCTCAGTGTTGCTCAGTGTTGCTCTGTGCAGCTTATACAGCGTTTTGGTCAGTCAGGTCTTTTGCCTTCTGCCTTCCATGCCCCTTTTCCCGCGTACCCCACGCGTACCCCACACGTATTCCACGCGTACTACGGGGCCCCGACCCATCCAAGACCTGGACGCCGTCGGTGGACGCCACGGGCGCGGCTGAGGATCACCCCAACGGGTCACTTCAGCTCTCACCCCAAGGGCCGCAAGAAAAACGGTGAAAAACGGTGTGTGAAAAAGGTTTTTTTTTAAAAAAAAAGTAATAATAACGCACAGAGGTTGCATGTGCACGAAGAGACCTGTGAATTCAATTGATGACTTTTCTTGAGAGATCTGCAAATGCATGTGATGCATGAAACCAATGCCATCCAAACATCTTAGTGGCCCAGTAGAAAAAAAAAACAGAAACCATCAGAAACGTCCACGTCCACGTTTTTCCAGTGTTTCGGAGGTGTCGTTTTCGGACCTGTCTCCCTTGGACCTGTCTTCGGTTCTGGGTCGAACTCTGGAGCTACGTCTTTCCCCTGGGATCCCATTGGACGTGGCAACCCCCACCGTACGACTCGCCCGGGCACCACCGAGCTCGATCGACACGAGTCCGAGTCCGACCCGACTCGGTCTCGAGTCCGACTGGGGACGTGCGGCGCGGGGGGGTTTGAAAGGGTGATGCCCAACCTGCCTTTTTGGAACTCCCAGGTCCCAAGATCTGAGGTCTGTAGTGCTGGTTTCTGCAATCAAGTGCTTTCTCCATCACGGAAAAAGCGCGGTTTTTTGTGGGGTGGTCGAATCATGTCGAATCTCTATCATGTGCAAACCATTGAGGAATGACCAAGCCGCAAAGTTCAAAGCTCATCCAGTGGCCTTCCTGGTTGAATTCTGATGAACCGGCAGAACCTGTCACCTGGGAATTTGGAGATGTCGTGACACAAATGTCACCTGGGATGTTAGAGCCCCTCTCTATCCCGACAACTCGAGGTTCTGACGTGGTGAACAAATGGGTCTCCATCTCAAAGTGGGGTTCATGGGCGTTGATGCTCAAATGCGAGTCTTGTGCCATATCCTAGATGGCACTAGTAGCTAGAAGCTATTAGGTGGAGGCCATCGCAAGTAGGTTGGAGGCCATGGCTACTAGTTGCAAGAAGCTACTAGTTTCATGTTTAGTGAGAGTTCTTCCCCCCATCCCACACACTGCCCAGCCTTGAGAGGAGTCGTGGCGGAGCGTATTTCTTCCCGCGCCGGCGCCACGGCGTGGCGCGGCGCACGGACGAGCACGGCACACGCGGGTCCTCCCCTTGTCGTTTGCGGTTGGCTCTGCGAAAAAGAACTGTTGGCTCTGGGAGTCTACTAGAGTTTTTGCCATTGATGCCATCCTGCGGCTGGTGTGGGTGATGAAGAATACAAGAAATGCAGTTTTTTGATGTTGTGGCGTGTCTATGTGTTCCCATTTTGCTGCAGTTGATTGGTTAATCGGTGAGGACCCATCCTGGGACTTTTGTCCGAAGTCCCCAAAAATCCAACTACCGCCAGCCAGTCAAAGAAGAAACAACAAGAACTGGAGGTGACATGCTGTAAGTTGCGCACACTTCACTTGTTTGCAACTACATACCGTAAAAAATGCTCACCGTGTCTGATGGTTGTTCAGAAGTTCCATCAATGGAAAAAGAACTGTGGGTAACACTCCATGGCCGGCATTAAAGGACTCCTACTCTGAGCCCAAAGTGTAACGGTGCACGGTGCCGAGCGTTTTTGATAAAAGTAAAAATAGAAAAGACATGGAGCCCAGTGTTCGCTCAGGTGTTCAGCGGCGCAGCCATCGCAACGATCGCTATGCTCAAGGTCCTGTGACTTGGGTGTTGGTTGCCTGTGACTGAGGACCCCCTCAAGAGTGCAAATTTAGGGGGGTTGACGGTCTTGTGGATGTGTGAATGTGTGAACACTCACAAAAACGGCCTACGAGATCAATTTTGTTGTGCCGAAGCCGTGATGTTCACGAAAGTCACGAAAGTTGGATTTCATGATGGACAATTTGTCTCTCTCAACTTTGCTCTAGACAGGAACCCACTGCTTTTGAATGTCCCAGGACTGCTCCCAGCATCTCCAGCTCTTGCTCCAGGGACTTTCTACATGTGACATGCCTGCGTTTGCCAAGACAAACACCCGCGCATGATATCCAAGATCTCCTGGTCTGCACCCCACCATCCAGATGACTAAATTCATGAGATGAAGAGGAAGATGACGTTCACGAAACAAAGAGCGAGATGAAGGTCATGAAATGAAGTGGATGACACGAAGAGGAAGATGAAATTCGCGAAAGAGATCTCCCGCACCACCTTGGTCCACACTTCGGCAATCCTGACAAGGCATTAGTTGCGTTCGATGTTTTGAGAATGTGTCGCCCGCAGTAAAGACAGACGCTGCGCGGGTCATGCGGTGAGTGGATCCTTAAGGCATATTCTGTTGACCTGGCCTGCTGTGCTCGTCTTTGGCCGGGTTTGACGTCACCACTTGGACGACTCAACGTAATTACCGCTCGGAACCTCATAAGTTGAGCCTGTCTATTTCTGCAGGAAAGGCAAGCGCCCAAATCTCTTCTGGGAACACAAACATGGCCCCACTCTGTGTGTGCCTGGCGAAACTCCAAGGCCTTCGGCCCGAAAAGTTCTGCACGTTCCCGATCGCCGGTGCAGCAGGGTGGTCAAGAGTGTGGTAAAATGTTGCCTGAAAAAATGGGTCCGATGAGTGTGTGTTTTTAAACTTGCTGTGCAATTCTCTAACGCACCATATTGGTGCAATACCTCATAAAGTGTGTCCCCCGGCTTTGCCCGTTTGCTTTGCCAGGTTCTTCTTTGGGATATAATGTTCCATCTGGCTTACTTTTTGTTGCAAGTCCTTTGACCTAACGTTGTCACGGTTCACATGCAAATGCTACCTCACCTTAGCACAAAAAGGCCGGGTACCTGCATGTAGCTTCGAAGGAAAATACATCGTATGGCAAGTGGGACGAGCAAAGCTGGCGAAAGGTGAGTGGTTAACACGACGAGACAGTACTATAAACTATATAGTAGATTACTAACTTATGTTTAGGCGCTTGTGTCACCTCTCTCTAAGAACAGAAAGTTGTATCTGGCTTTGCCACTCTTGCTGCATGTGGTTAGGCAAGGCCGGGCAGCTGTTAAACTGCGGGAAGCATGGTACACAAGCAGTGGGCACTGAGTTATCATCAATGAAGGTGAGATGATGGCGGAGCTTAGCCAGCTTAGAGCTGATGAGGACGAGCAGCTGCAAAATCACTCCTCTGCGAAGCAGTGGCTACACTGCAAGCCACACAGACTTCGTTCCCGGACATGGACTTCTCCCTATCTGCGCGCCTCTGCTTTCAAGAGATTGTTTAAGCGCAAGAAACCGGACACCGCTTCAGAAACTGTGCGCCCGTAGCTACCACGCCACATCAACTCTTCCTGTAGCACCTCAAATGGGTCCTCAAACTCTGGCCTACGCTGAAGATTTGTCTGTGATTCCGTCATCACCACCCGGATCCTGTCCAATGTATCGTCTCCAACTCCAGAAACCCTTTTCCAGCTCGCTCCTCGGTTCTCACACGGCACCACCGGGACCTCGGTCCCGCGTCGTCCGAGGTTCCGCCGCGTCGTTCCTCGGGGGCCGTTGGACGGTCCACCGCACCGTCGCCTCACAAAGAGTCCTCGTCCGCCTCAGAGCCGGTGACCAGAAACCGGGTCGAGTCTGGGTGTGGTGGGGTGTTGGCAGTTCCCGAACGATGTTGGAATCAAATCAACAGGAAACAGTACTCAACTCAAGAGAGAGGTTCCGGGTCACAATGGTCACTGATATGAAGTGGTTGTAAGAAACTTGTATGTCAGAAGGAGGTTTGGGAACTACACGAATCACAACCCAGCAGAAGTGTCAATTCTAGGAATTTCATGAACCATGACTGCACGGCTCGCCGCACCCGTCGATTCGTCGATCCTTGTCTCGATTATTGACTGGAGGGAGTGTTTCCAGGTCAAAACAAGATAAACCAATCTTATCTTGTGCTCGCAATGATGAGAATGGGTGTTTGGGGACTTTTGCGAGTTTGCCACTGAGCATCCAGTCCACGTTCAATAGCTTTTGTTGGATATCAAAACACCTTTAGTCTTGGATCGGGAATCCCTCAGAAGCCAAGAGTCCTGGTTGGTCCTAGAGATTGTCATCTGGTCGTTTACTGAGACTAAAACACCTCCCCGTTTGGATCCATTTGGATTGTATAACCTCATATGGAGGGTTCTATTACAGTCATCGTTTGAGATGACTCAATGACCCTGTGGAAACCGCCCGTTCCGCCCGAGACATCGCGGAACAGCGCGTGCGCTCCGCGTCCCGACCCCGTCTTTTTCGGATCCGACCGGGGAAAAAACGACATGACACCGAGCCACATGCACTCGCGGACCCATGGTCCGCCTCAGCAGGAAGACGAGTGCAAGCACTCGTAGGAAGAAGAACGTTGTTCCTCACGTTGGCTTCCAGTGTAAGAAATGATCTAAATCTAACTCACACATGATTGGCATTCGATTGCTTGGGGCCTCTGCTAAACAAACATGCGAGTTGCGGTACCACTGTGTGGTGGATTTTTGGCAAACAAAAATAGAGTGATCCCCCAAAATATTTGGGTGACTCTCTGTCCGATCGATTCCCAGTTCAGATCGGGCTCTGATTTCCTCAGCAAAATCCACCTGATCAAACCAGGATCCAAGCGAAACAGCTGAACGAAGAGGCCTTTTCCAAGCCTGTTAGTTGGACATGACCTCCAAGCCCATCACCCAGCATGGAAGATGTCCCTGGAAGAGGTCCCAGAAAAAAGGAAGCTTCAACCCCTGAAACAGTAAGTGTGTCCATGTGTTTTTCAATGATTTAGAGCACCTTTGAGATCTTTGGAGATGTGAATATCGCGGCCGAAACCCTTCCCTTACAAATCCCTCTCGGACGATCCAAGCTAACGTGAACACACTGTTCATCTTATGAACATCCTATAGACGAACCTCTTGGAAGATCCTAACTCAATCTTGCAGGGATCAAACAAGATTCAGCAATGGCTGCATCAAAAGCCACGTAGCTGTTCTTTCTTCCTGCAGGTGTGTAAAAGGAGAAAGCTCTCCGATAACCAGGGCGAGCTTGCTAAGATTCCCCTTTCCAGGGCTGTGATATTCTATGACCGCTTCATCCCTCAAGTCGCTTCCACACTCAACTGACCAGCTGTAGAATGAAAGAAGTGCACCAGAAACATCAAGAAAACCCATTGAGTCTCCACCTGAAGTCGTTCTCAAAACCACACCTTCCTTCGGTCCCAAATTCCCAGAATCCCTGTTTCTCGAGGTTGGGTGCGTCGGGTTCCTCCGGAAGCACCCACAGTGTTCTTGCACTCGTACCTCAAGGTCCAAGCGGCCGGCTCGTCAGTGGGGCGGTCTCGGAGCCGCTCTCCTGGCGACGATTCCAGAAAAACGGCGGACGTCAGGAGTTCCTGGACCTCACTGAAAACTGGAGTGGATCATACAAAGACACTCAATGAGGTTTTTAGGACCCGATTTGACTGTGTTAGGCGGTCAAACAGTCAGGCCTGGAGTCATATTAGTCAATTCTCCAGACTCCAGAAAAAAAGGTTGTTTTTTGGTATCTTTGTTCGGCGATCAAAGAAGCTTGGATTTCGGTGCGCACCGTGTTCTTAACGAAGGTTGAGCCTTCCGATCAGGTTTTTGAAATCGTGTTGAGGTGCTTGAAGTGGATTCCAATTTAGGGGGGACTGGATTCCAAGATCCTTCACCTTAGAAACATAGAAACGGCACACAAAGCTGCCGAAAATGATGATCCTCGATTGGGGGAGTGGTCACCGGGTTGTCTGTTCTTTTCAACTTTGGAAACAAATCTCCTGGGCTGTGCACAAATAGAAGCGGACCTGGGACATTGTGAGTGAACGTCCTAGGTCCTAGAGTTCATCATCTGTCTGCCCATCTTCTAGCTCTGGACTAGGTATGCGTATGAACTAACTAATTAAACTAATTATACATTGGTTTCACACTAAAATGGCACAAACCCAAGATGACTATTAAATGGAGGTCCAATGAACCACTTTTGGGAGGATTTTGCCATCTACTCTCAAACCACCCAAAATCAGGGTGCTTTCCCCACCTAGATCCAAGGTGTTTCTTACGTTGATCCTCACATTCAAGCACTTCCGGTGCTTCCCCAAGCCCTCCACGCCGCCCTCGAAGCGGGTTTCCACCCGCCGCCCTCGACGCCGGGTTTTTCCACGGGTTTCCGCGGGTCGGAGCTTTCGGAGCGGTGAACGGGGGGAAGTTCGTTGAACGGTCAGTTCGGTGTCTTTCGAAGAACGAAGAAACGCGTGGATCGCTCTGTATATATGCTGATTCTTGTTCTTTTCTTCATGACAGGGAATCCATTAGCTGCTCGCTGTTCATCGAAGCCACACAGAAAACCATCTTTGGGTGGTCGAGATCTATGTGTGGCGTGCTGCTCCAGCCCTCCGAATGCGCGTCTTCACGGAGCGAAGAGCGGAAGATTGGACCAAGAGCAAGCGAAACGGCCCTGCCCCGGCCAGTTGGGCCCGAAGGGGACTCACCCTGGTAGGTTTGGCCTCCCTGAGGCAAGGGTGGCCAGTTTCCGCGAAAGAAAAAGAAAAACCTTTCCACGACAAGGAACAGTGAAACCACGACAAGAAAATGCAATTCACGACTAAGAGGACAATTCAACCCAAGACCCCGGAAAGCAGTTTAAGGCCACCAACCTGGTTTCCAGGTGCAGGAGAAGCAGCCAACGCACTTTTTTCTCACCCCCACAAGGTCACAGCTTACGCTTCTTGCCCTTCTTCTGCTCCTCGTCCATCAAGACGCGGATTCGCTCCTGGTCCGTCTCCTTCACAACATTGAGGAGGTGGTGGCTGACACCGTTCATGAAGCGGTACGTGGAGAGCACATCTTTCGCGCAAACACTCCTTCGACCACATCCCTCTGCCATCTTCTGGTAGGCGCCCAAGATCTCCACGCACAAGCTCTCTGAGACAACTTGAAGCATCAGCACGGCATCGGGCGCAAGCACGGCATCAGGTGCAACTTGCTGAGCAACGTCTTTGACCAAGCGAGCCAAAGGCTTCTTCGGAATCAAGAGGTCGGTGGAGCTCTGGTACTTCCGAATTTCTTCCTCGGCCTTCTTGCTCTGCGTGTACCCACGCACGGGGCAGCCCAGATACCGGCCGACGCGCTTCTTCTTCTTCTTCTTCTTCTTCTTCTTCTTCTTCTTCTTCTTCTTGCGACGCCAGGCCAAAATGCGTTTCCATGTTGCTATCTAGAGGCGGAGTGCCCATTCGAAGAATGACACCACGCGGTATCACCGAGAGCCCATCCTCCAACAAAGAATCTGCAGCAGCCAGTATTCGCCGTCGATCATCCACAGCGAGGCTAGCCTGACTATTTGTGGACAGCTCCCGTGTTTTCCGAGCCTCGCCGTGGCAGTGGCCAGCTTGCCCGACACGAAGGCTGATCGAATTGCCCTCACCCTCCACTTCAAACCTGAAGACCTTTCCTTGCTGAGCATAGCAACCTGAATGCTTGTAGCATTGCGCTGTGGTGACCCAGCAAACAGAAGTTTCTTTCGCCACCTTGCGTGGCGTCGAGAGGCCCCGATCACCTCTCCATGGGCAAAAGCCCAATGTCTGGCAGCTGGCCGCAAAATGTCAGCCAGGCTCTCACCTTGCTTCTTTTCAATCTGAGCTACATCGACATCCTCATATGTTAACCTTCGGCGAGGAATCATCCATGCGCGCGGTGCTAAAGATGGACAAAGTTAGTGTGTCTGGTGCTAGAACCAGTTCTGTATCCCGAAACTGGTTTTTGGGATGAAGCTGGTTTTTGTGCAAACCTGGTGCTAGAAAGATCTAGAAAGCAGTTCTGTGTGTTAGAAAATAGGTCTGAAGCTGGTGTGTTTGTGTGCTAGAAAGTAGCTCTGAAGCTGGTGTGTTTGTGTGCTAGAAAGTAGCTCTGAAGCGTAAATCAAAAAACACTTTCAAGTAAGCAAACTGGTTTCCAGGTTTCCCCAAGACATAGATGTGCATCTTCATGCTTGTCGTGATGCTATTCAATTCTAGTCAAAGTAATAGATTCCTTATCGTTGTCTATATGTTACTATCGTGGTTAGAAGACCCCCTACCCTGAGGCAGTCCATTCTGTGCGTTTTCTGTGGTCAAGCAGGATCCCCCTTGCCAAACGAGTGTAGTCTTTGGGATTTGAGCCAAGCTTCTGTGGTGGATTCGATTTTGGGATCTACTTGGAGCGGCTTCTCCACCAAAACCAAAACGAGGCCCTGCGGCCTCTTCCTCCTCCACCGCTGCTACACAGGCCAGGCGTAGTGCCGCAAGACCAACGGGCCTGAGGCTCTTGGCAGGTGCGGCGATCGGACACTCAGAACCTGGACTGTACATGGAATGTGGGTGTTTTGCGTAACTCAAGAGTCTCTCCATCAAACAAGCTCCTCTGAAACATGGATACACACGGCTGGCCCATCAAGAAGTTGTGAATTTGCCCCCAACTTCTGGATGAAGAAAGTTGAGGACAAGGCCAATGCTACTGGGTCAGGGCAAACTAAAAGGGTTGCTAACCAATGAAGTCCATGTAGGCAAGCATTCCACAGTAATTAGGACCTGGGCTACAACGCTGGTTTTACTGTTCAATGGTACTGCAGTACCCCCAAAACACTGGCGCTTCTCCCATGGTCTTTCGGTGTGGCGGTAGAACAGAACCGATCGAGAAAGGTCCGTTCTCGCTTCGGACGATGAGTGGTCCGTCCTGTCGCGGTGGCGATTTTGGGGGGCGAAAGAAAACGGATCTTTAATCTCTAGCTATTAAGGTCCCCCCCAGAAGTGTACCTAAGGGGGTAGGGATGATCTTTAGGTCGAGTTCTTTCTCACAAATACGCTGTGAAAGCTCAGACTTTGTGGAAGGAGTATACTGAACAAGGTGCTCAGGTCGGGAATAAAGTCCAACTGAAAGTGCCGGCTGAAAGTGTATAAGGTCGTGAAAGGCAATATTGTAGGGAGGCATGCGGTCTCCCGTTGGTCACTTACTTCATACTTCCACTTGGTGTGAAAGTACAAACCGCCCAGACCTGTTGAAGGGCACACATTGATTGAAACAAAACGAACGGATATTATCCGGTGCTTTGCGGGTGAACTACTGCCCAAGTTTAGCGAAGTGGTTGGATGAAGTCCTTGGGCATCAACCTTCATCAGAAGCCCAACTACTTCCTCTTGAGGGTCCTGCACCGCCAGCAGCACTGCCACCGCACCTGGGACCAGGAAGTCTCCAAGAAACCCCTCCTAGGAGTCCACCCACTTTGCGAAGGATTGGTTTGACTACAAAGCCAGGTCAAGCTTTCTTCTCATGGTCTGGAAGGAAATGAGTACGCGAGATGTCAAATCAGACCTACACGGAAGGCATGTTCGTTCCTTTAAGTTCGAGGGATTCCAATCTCAAATCCTAGCTTTTGACCTCAAGACCCCGATGGACCCCGATGTCACACACATGGTGAACTACTGCCCTGCTTTTAGACCAAAGCCTCCGCAGGAGGCCAAGGGTCTTTGATGCCATCCCACCCAATATGAGGATCAAATGATTCAACAAGAGGAGAGTGGGAGTGGTGATATGATTTGGACTGATTTGGTGACCTTTGTCCTTTCCAACCCCAATGGCTACGAGATGGCACAAACCCATCGACCACTTTGGATGAGGGTTTGATTCATCTGTCGCCGCCGACCCCGCTGATGGGGTAGAGCGAGGCACATGTTTGCGTGTTTGCTCTTGCGTGTGCCGGAAGTCTGCATGGAGTAGGACGAATGGAGCCTCGGATGTCGAAAGCCATATTCCCAGCTCCAACTACCTACAGTAGTGTCGACGGGTCAGTCCCTGCTCTCTGAGGGGCTCGCAAAAAACTTGGAACACTCCAAAAACCCGAAAAAAACTCCCCACCGCGTGCGTCATCGGAACCGGCATCCGCGGCACCCAGGAGTCTGCCGGCCATCTGGAGCAGGTCCACCACGCTGTCCACGCAGGCTGGCCGCTCGTGGAGCGTTTCCTGAAGCAAAGGTGAGGCGGGAAACGGCTTAGGTTCGGCACCAGGGAGCCCGGATGTGATGGTAGAATTAGGAATGGAGAAGTGCCAAGTGTTCATTGCACACCCAGTATTCTGACACTTTTGGGAGAGGGGTATGGTTTTCGGGGGAAGCTGCAGTGCTTCCAGCGATCAGCAGGTTCAGTTCGGACCCTCCAAAATGCCCTCACCACAGCAATCCAATAAAACCAGGAAAAAACACGCCAGGGGTGCGAGCTCTTTTCCAACTAAGGGTCTTTTGTCGTGTAAGACACCCATTTCAAGACTTCACGGCATCCTCGAAGTCAATCTACCCTCCTGAAGTAGGTAGGATATGAATCAATCCCCAAACATGACCCGTTTCTTGTCGTTTCTTTGGATTTCCCCATATTCTATCTACTCCGTTCGATGTCTACAAGTCACAGTCAACTTCTCCAATTGGTTTCCCTCCCTGTCGTTGCCTCCATGGTGGTGAGACCAAACATCGGCACCTGCAGGCGGAGGCGCGTCCCGTGACACGACACGAATTTCTTTAGGGCCGTAGCATCCTTGCTACTTTCGTAGCGATGCACCTTGCTACTAGTAGCGTCCTCTTGTTCCTAGTAGTAAGGCCAGGAGCCCCTAGTAGCGTCCTTGCTCCTAGTAGCGATGCCAGGAGCCCATAGTAGCTTCTTGTTCCTAGTATATAATTTCTTCAGATCACCCGCGATGTTGCGCAATGTGCTGCAATCTGCATCGCAACTTCGGAAACCCTGTCTTGGGCAAAAAGAGGAGGCGGATCCCGGCAGACGCAACATCCCAATTCAACCTGTAGTATAAGAAGCGATGCAACCGGACAATCTACCTTTTTGGAACCCAGGAACTGGCAGGAAGTGTTGCACAATTGATGGGGAAGATCCCAAGGAGTGCGGTGAAGAAAAACCGAGAACAAAACCGGCCCACACATGTGCCGCAGGCGCCACGTGTGTAGCGCGGCTGCCGCGCCTCCGCACGGCAAAAGCCGCCACAATGGAAGGTCACCTGGCAGATCACGGAGCTTCAAAGGGGTAAGAGTGATTGGTCTGAGTAGATGGCACAAACCCATACAAACCCATCGACCCCTTTGGTATAGGGACCTTGGATTTATGTGAAGCACCACGAGTGTTAGGGGGTGTGCCATCTGCAATTGGCGACGTTTCATCCACTGTGGTGCTCCCCAAGTGCCGTGACCGCGGTGCTTCTTTTCGCCGGCCACGTCGGGACCAGCATCTTTGGCCGGCAGAGCGCCCGTAACCAGGTGGGACCTCAGCTGCGGTGGATGGTTTGAATCAGGTTTGTCCCACGAGCGGATGATGGTTAGGTTGCAGGCCTTTCTCACAAATAGTGATCCACTCCCTGAGACAATCATAGAAGTGGAACATAGGCAAATGGTTTCGATCATCTTCTACGACGGATCTGCTCGGTTTCCATGATTGACTGATTGTCAAGGGTAAATACTCATATCGACGGCTATACTGGTTTCCTGGGACACATCCTGCCTAGCAGTCCCCACTAAACCATCCATGTGGGGCTTCTGGGGCGTACGGGCCGATCCTCCGTTGGGCCGATCTGCGTTGCGCGAGTGGGTTGCGAAGCAGTGGAGCGAAAAAGGTTGCGCTGGAGTGAAGCAAAATGAGTAAGAGCATTTCAAAACAGTTCTCATTAAGTGTTGCTCAATGCTCTTAGTCATGAAATGGCTCTTGCATTCGGAAGAATGGCAAGTGCCTCATTGAACATCGCCATTGACAAATCCCAAACATGGACGAAGTAAAGGCATCGAACATGCACGGTATATACCCACATTCGGACAGTCAATGAAACTTCCAAAAATGCCGCCAAAAAGAACATGCGCTGGACAACTGAATACATCTTAATACATACAATAGTTGCGGGTCCAAGAAAGCCGATTAAGGCAAAGAGTTGACAGTCACAACTCAGGGGATGTGCTATTCTCAGGGTCCATGTAAGTTTGAAAAGGGGGAGTCTTCCCGCATTGTCCCAAAAAATGCAACAATCTCGTGCTCTGCTTGCAGTCTTTGCACGTCGATCGTCGATCGGTCTCTCATGGCTCAGAACGGCACCCTGTGCAACGTAGGACCCTGAAATCACTCTGCTGCATGCAACTGCTTTCATTGGTCCAATTTGCGGAAAGGGAGTCCCCATTCGACCTTCACAAGCAGATGATACGTCCAGTGGCGGAAACCATAAATCTGATCGTTGGTTCCGAGTCACAGACAAGTCAATTGTCTGTAAGATCCTTTGAAGCGATCTTAAACTGCCCTCATGATCCCTCATGGAAAAAAAAATCAAAGTCATTGCAAAACACGATGTTGGCCAGAAAGTAAAGAATGAAACAAGAATCGCGAGCATTGTCAGACAAATGAATGACACCGGAGCCATGTGTCCTTTCGGAAAAAGGACACATCGAATATCTGGCTATCTGGCTGGCTGTCAACTGGCATCACCAAAACATACCAAAACCAATACCCCACTAGACCCTCACTACTCTCCGAGTCATTCACATGGAAGTGGATGGCAACCTGTTCGTAGAGAAGAAAGGTCTTCCAGGGGCCATGCCATCCACGTAACCCTGATTCTTTCAAGGAGTGTAAAGGTTGTCATCTACCAAAAATCAGCTTTGAGATTTCTTCACCCAGTTGTTGAATTCTTGAGACACCTTGAGACACCATGAGACACGGGGTACCAGGGGCGAAGCGCTTTTCGTTAACCCGGCTTCGTCTCCAACGCTCCCAAGCAGCTTTCAGGGTCTCGGAGCAACGGCGCATCCCCCAGCGCCTTCGTCCGCCTAGCGGACGGGCGGCGATCGCACGGAGAAGTCTCGAAACGCGCGATCGAACGGATGGGGTTGACTGGTGCGGCAACAGGGTCTACCAGGTCCGCGACAGGTGTGGGAGTCTCCCATTGAAAATGCACAAAATGCACAGAGCAGCATCTCTCTACATTCCTCCTCCGTTGAAAAATGGCGCACCGCGGCGGGGTGTACAGCGCGCCTGCAACCATCCTGAGCAAGAGGGAGCTGGAAACTAGAAGAGCTGAACACCTTGGTCACCATTTAGTCATCATTACTCCCTACCAGACCATCGATTCCAGTCGACTACAGAAAAGTGGTGACTATCTATCCATGGACTGGGTCAGCCGGATGGTCAAAATGTGTTCCAAAAACGTTTGGGATTTGGAGTGAACAACCCTCGAAATGTGGAGAGGCCCCCTAAAAGAGGTCCAGCAAAAAACTTGAACAGCCAAGTCTGTGGACATATCCTAATTCTTCACCGTAGCTCTCAATGATAGGTAAACAGTTACATTGATCTTAAGATGCCCTGTTGTAAGGTGGTGTCTTTTTCACTTGTTCCGAGCTTCCGAGCAGAGCCAACGGCCGCAGCTCCCTTCCCTGTTCCATGTTCGGCACGACACGGCCGCACCCCCGTTCGCGGCACCCCCCCCGACTCGGTCCCCTGGACCGTTCACCCGAACACAAGTCAAAGCAGCAAGAACGTCTGTTTTCGCCTGTTGTAGTTCTGAGGGGCACAAGAGCTACAGTCTGTTCCCAAGAAGTCACGCAAAAGCCAAACAACAAAACCCACCCAACTCGGAGCCAGTTTAGACGATCGATTGACATCTCACTTCCACTG